TGGGCTACCTTGTTGCGATTGCTGGAACCATGACCCATCAGAGACAGGCTTTTAGAATTAGACATAAACATGTGCTTCTCGTCACAGCTTAAGAGATTCACAGAGGGTGCTTTCGTTTACTGCGTCGCTCAATTGTTGAAGCCATCCTCTGTTTTGGATATGGGTGCAACCAATTACTGTAGATATAAATTAAGGGTGGTGATGGTGCTGGTGGTGGTGGTGGTGGTTGTGGTATGAGGGCAAGTGGTGGATGTGGGCGGAACCATGCCTAGAGCATAAGAGAGCGACACCATGCGAAACCTTAGATGGTATGTTAAAATCATCAAACATATTGAAACAGAATCAAATTGTCTAGATGTTTCCATCAAAAAACAAGGTTATATGTAGTGAAGGCCTAGATGTTAACAGTTGCCGAGGTCCCTGGTTCCCACTTGGCCATGCCATCCTGCCTGGAGGTTGGGGCCTCACGACGGACGGCTGCGACCTTTTAGCCACCACAGGCAGGTAGCGAATGGAGCTGGGGGAAGAAAGCGATGGGATTTCTGGTCTGGTTGTCTCTGCCCAAAGGATTTTGGAACCACCAGTTCAGGGGTCACGAGTCCTTTTTTGACACTCTGAAATAATCATGCAAGTGGAACACCACTTGTTTGGTATTTCGCGGCCATTTTCCACGTTCAATGATTATTTGAACCAGTGCATTCATTCAAAGATTGAGTTTTTGTTTGGCCCATGCAATCTCTTAGTTCTTTGCGATTCCCTTGCATGTTTGATTTGTTTCTTAATGTTTGATTCCTTTTAAATGTCCTGTTGATTCCTACTGATTGCCTATTAAGTCCCTATAGATTCCCCAACCATTCATGTTGAATATATTGATGTCCTTGTTTACAAATTTACATCCATTTGAACACGGTTTGTTCTTGTTGATTCCGTTTAACATCCTTTTGCTACAACAAGAACGTGGGGAGTTCCCAGCTCAAGCTGAAGACAGTGGCAAGTCGTTTGAAGGCGCATCGCAGATGGGGCACCTGCTCAAAGACTCCATGTATGACATATTTACCTACAGTATATACATTGGTGTGGTTTGAGGGGTTAATGTTTGGGAATGTTTTGACAATGTTTTAAATCTTAAATGTTGTTATCGTGTTTTGTATCGAATCAAATAGTGATTCCCAGGTAGTGGTGCAAACGGTCGGTTCGGACCATGGTTGTCTCTCAAGATCGATCTTGGCCATGGTTGAGAACCCATCTTTGCAGCAGTTTCAACTGCTCAACTATGTAACAATGTAGTGGTTTCAGATATTGTTGTTTATTTGTATGTTTGTTTTCAACCCTTTCCTTGGGATGATTGAACCCACTGACTATAATGTTTTGTTTGTTCAGGTGCGTACACCTTGGTTTGGATTGAACCAGTACCCTCAACTGGGCCCCAAGTCACCCTTGTTTTCACCTCACACGCTCCGAAGGACAGGCTGTGCATGATGAAGATCATCTAAAAAAAATTGTTCAGTACCCTCAACTCTCAACACCAGTCTCCTGCTCTGTATCATCAACTCACCCTGATGCCCATGTGAGCGGTCCCCGCATTCGCTCGGTCGCTCACGACGGAGGATCCTCGTACCTCTTCCGCCTTCGACGTTCGACCACGCCGGGGCGCCCGGGGCAGGCGTTCGGCGTTCGGAAGAAGAACCAACCCAAAACGGCCCAAACAACATGACCAGGAGACTGGTGTTGATGAGAGAGTTGATGGTTGACCATTTGACCGTTTGATTTGTTGTCATCAATTTGTTTGGTCATTTGTTGTTGGTCATCCAATTCAAGTGGCCAACAAATGACGTGGCTGGACCCTCCGACCATCTGGGTCTCCCTGGCTGGACTCCCCGGCAGATCGGACACCCAGATGAATCCGAGGGTCCAGCGATCTGAGCCCTGTTGATGAACACCAACTGGTCGTGTTGTGTGGTTGCCAACGGATCGTGTAACGCGCCCCGTATAGGCCCACAGAGTGTGGAAGTGACACATGAAATCGTTTGGACTGTGGTTCACTGGTTCACTGGACTAGAGTGCTTGGGATTGAGGTATTGACCCCAACATGTTCCGTCAGGCAATGAAACATCGGTCGATGAACAGCAATGGAACAGATACTCTTGCAAACTTCGAACCTTTACGTATGTTTAAGTTTTGTGTAAGTTTTGTTGAAGGAAACATCATCAGTTGACGGATAGATCTTCTGGAATGACACGGGAATGGAGGCCCCAGTCTTTTTCAATTTTGGAAGCGTCCTTGTGGCGCCGCCCAACAAGAACAAGTAGCATGTTGTTCCAATTAAATAGAGCCTTGATCATCGGTAACAGAGCGAGGTTTTTGAGGCGACATGTGCGGCATGATGTGGATCGAGTAGTGTAGGAGGGTGAAGTGATGTGAGTGTACCAGCACCTTCAAAGGGGTCAGCTGGCTGGAAGCCCCAGCCCACTACTTTGGTATCTCCAGACAGGACATCCCTTGAATGTCCAGGTACGTTGGTGAAATGACAACAGTTCTTCATGTCACAAGCTGAGCGCACAAGCAAAGCGCACGGGGATCGCTTTAGGGAGTGATTGCTGGGTTGTCATAGGGAGTGATTGCTGGCGCTCTTGGACACTGGAGAACGTCGTTTTGGGGGATACGGTTTCGCAAAAGGTTCCTTTAGGTTCTTTTGAATTCGACTTCAATATACCCTAGGACCTTCTGAGAAGGTGTTTAGGGTGGGTTTAGAGGGTCCAAATACCTTCTGAGGAAGTACTTGGAGCCCTAACGATACTTACTTCAGGCCTTTATCTCTTCGATGCTGTTTTCATTTCATCAGTTTTTGGTCAGTCGCCTCTTGAAAACTTTGAAGTCGAATGACACGTATTTGTAGGGTAGAGTCGAATGACCCGGTTGGCTGCTGGGTATACGGTGTGATCGCAGCGTCAGGAACGGTCTTTTCGAGCTGGCAAACAAAGTCCAGGTCGGGATGCCAAAGGGGCATGGATTAATACAGAAGGGGCACATGGTGATGTTTGGGCCAGATTCTTGTTTTTTGGGTCACGAAAGGCTATAGCTTCAGCTTGCTGGAGTTGCTCTTGCTTAAGGGAATCGGCTACCGGCCTCCATTGTCCACTGCTAGACACCCCCTCCGCGGGTTCAACTCCCTTGACTGTCAGATTCGGGAGCATAATAGTTCTGATAGCATCCATTTTGGACCATTGTGTTTCACATGATGCCGGACATCCACGCTTCTTACTCAATCCGTTTTAAGGCCGTGCTAGCTTTCATCACTGTCATCACCAACCCCCGGCCTCAAGTTGTGATCATTCATGGCCCACAAGATCCCACAGGTATAGATATATGTGTCAAAAGATGCGATAGAGTGATAGATGTGATAGATAGATATAGTTGTGATAGATAGATCCTATCAAGTCTGTTTGGAAGCTGCTTCCATCTTCTCAAAGGACTGGTGAGCTCACATTGAGGTGAGGACTTTTGCTATACCCCGTGGAAAACCAACATGGAACCTGAACACCACTGCTTAAAACGAAGAAAACAGTCTCTCCGGGGCCAGAGTTGGCAATGCACTCTTGAAAGGGCCAGGGAATTTGAGTGTTCGATGAATGTTCACGAGTTTCAACGGGCAGTTTGTTTGTTCCACGGGTTTTAGCAACACGTCAATTCAATCAGCAGGATTTTGATACAGAAGCCTTCATACACCATGACCATCATGTGCAGCATCTCAGAACTCTTCATCGTTGGTTGCCGCCTCTCATCGGATGTTTTCATGGTTTTGCTGAATGTGATTGTACATTTTCCCTATGGGTGAATCCCCCAGTCCAAGTTTTTGTTAAGGGTCGGTTCTCCCCCATGTCGGGCGGATTGAGAACCTTTTGCTTTAAAGTCCAGCTGCTATTCTTCGGGGGTCCTGGTAACCTTTGGTACCCAAGGATTGTAAAAGTATGATTTTCAATCCAGTTCAGGTGTGGTTTTGGATGGTTTTGGCAATGCAGCTGCTGATCAACACACAAATCCTAAAATATCCAGTATCCTGTACCAGCTAGCAGCTAACACATCGTTGCACAACTTTGAAACCTCTTCCATGCTGCCCATGCTCAGTACCTGTGGTAATTCATTTTCCACCCGATACAATGCAGCCACCATATAGTTTTCACCGACATGCCATTTGAAGGAAAGGTCCAGGATTGTCATGTTGATTGTTGATAAAGAACACACACACACACGGTGAACACCCTACCTTGATAGTTAAGAAACATCTCCATCAAACAGTCAACAGTTCACATCTCCATGTTCTCCCACGGGGGATCGACCTGTGGTATGCGAAGAAAGCGAAGAAGGGATTGATTCTGGACGGACATCGCTGTCCGCATGTGGTTTTTCTGGTCAAAGGACCTTGGGTTTCTATGGTCACCACGTGTGAATTGAGCTACTCTGGCTTGGATGTTTGAAGAGGATTGTGAGGATGGGATGGATCGAGCTATACAACCGCCGCAGGGTCGAAAGGGACAGGTTGCGCCACTTCGAACAAACGTGTTTGCGCCACCCCTCTCCGCCGGGTCTTTGAAGCCATCGGCAAGTCCTTGCTGTGAGCCCCTTCATGTGTGAACCCCCCTCGCACAGCCAGATTACACGGCACGGCTGACATGAGAACGATGGAAAATCACATAAAATCACCAGATTGGGAAAAACAACCACTTGCTGGGGGGGAACAAGCTCTTGCTCGCTCTCAGCATGATACATCAGCACAGATCAGCACCTTTCTATAGTCAACAGGTTGAGACAGACCGTCGCTTCAGATCACATTAATGCACGGTTGAGGTATAGAGTCTTCATCACTTTTCATCACTCTTTATTCACTCCTTCCGACACCCCAGGAGCAAGGACGCTACTAGGGGCTCCTGGCCTTACTACTAGGAGCAAGAAGCTACTACTAGTAGGTTGGAAGTTCTCAGCCCCCAGCCTCCGCACAATTCCCCCAAACAACTGACCGCGAACGAACAAGCACCGCGACCGTGGCGCTGTCCGTCCAGCATGGCCGGCCGTTTCTTGGGCCACAGGGAAAGGACGCTCGAAGGTCACCGAAAGGACGTGTCCTTACTGTATAGACTGATAAACTCTTGATTGATATCCCCCCTCATATTTGGATATAGTAACAGCTCTTCATTATGGGAGGTTGTTTTGGGGGGGTTGATGAATCAAGTGTCTACATTGAGGCTCTTGTTGATGTCCCTTGGGGGATCTGGACGGTGATCGGACTCATGGTCGTCGGACGGCCGGATGGGCACTGGGTCGTCGGCACTGGGCCCTGGGGATGCCGTGACAGGGAAGTCCACTCAGAGGCTACTGAAGCTTTTGCATCCTTTTGCCACATGGTGCGAATATAGACGCTATCAGATACTCAAAGGGGAGCAAAGCCCGCTCATGAGTTCCCCTTCACGGGTTGCTTTGTTTGAGAAACACTCAACAAACCTTTGGGGGTAGTGAGCCCACATTCCACTGCTCAGTCCTTACTTTTGCCAAAGACCTTAACGCGATCCTTGCAGCGCCCTCCAACAGCTCATGAAGCGTCCAAGGGACCTAAGGGCTTTTTGGAGAGTCTCGGCAAGTACCCCATTTTCTCAACAACTACGAAACCACACCGTTTGTGCATTTGGGTGTTTTTTGTTGACCACTCCCTGTCCCCACATTCTTGGAGCTTGAAACTTTTTTTGAAGAAGAACCTCCAGCTGCAAATTCGTAGTAAAATAAGGGTTGCTTGTGATTCAGGCTCCTAAATTGATAGCTTTGCCAGGAATCCTCAGGGACCAACAAATGCTGTATTGAAAGGTCTCCCAGACGTTTTCGCTCCCCCTTGGCCCACCCACCCGGGGCCGCGGTTTCAGGCTACCAGCCCGCGGATGCCGCGGGCCGCTTCAACGCGGAGCCGCGGCAGGCGCCTCGCGAGGAGGCCGGGGAGCACGTGCAGAAAGTGAGCGAGACACGGACGCGGAGGTCGTTGGTTCCTTAAGCTCCTTCTTGTTCCTATCGAGTAGCGATGCCAGGAGCCCCTAGTAGCTTCTTGTTCCTATCCCCGAAAGGACATGAACGAAGTCTCATGCCTCTTAAGAAAGAACAAACCCTCAGGCCGCTGGGTGGCCTCGGCATGCTTGGCCACCTTGTCACCATGTTTTCGGGTTTGGAGGATCTCCCCTTGCCAGTTTTTGAGAGATTTTTAAGTGTGGAGGGGATCAGTTGGGTAGATTGGTAGGTAAAACCAACAACGGACTCCATGGGACTGCCATCTTTGCCAATCAGGTGGGCCATGGGAAGTCCATGTGCCCAAACCAACATCGGCCTATCGGGCCGAGTGTTTGGGGTTTTCGCACACGAAGCGGCGGGCGGGGTGTAAATGCCCTCCCTTCGGGCCGCCCCCGGGCGGATTCCTTCTTTTATGTTGCCGCGTGATCGGAAACGTTCGTTTAAAAGCCGTGAAATCGGTCACTCGGAGTCCGCTGGGCAACAGGATGTAAAGAAAACAGGTCGACTTGCTGCTTGGAGATTGGAAGTGATGGATGATGTTTTTGAGGCACTTTGGTCGGGAAACATGGGGTGAATATCGAAGAATCCTTGTTGCGTGAATCTCGGGTTTCGAAGCTGGGCGAATCTTTGAACCTCCTTGCCGAGGAGCCCGCACATGTTTGTTTGTTGCAGCTACTAAGTATGTTCTCACAGCATGTTTGTTGCAGCGTGGTCAAGTGGTCGTGAGCGGCTCTACAGAGGCTGGCCGGGACAGCTCGGCCCAAAACGGTGCGCGTGGGAGGCCAGCCCTTACTCGGAGCCCTTCTTCGACTTCGACGAGCTCGACACGGAGCGGTGGATCCAGCTCCGGTGGGACAAACAGAGACCTTCGTGGTGGTGGCTGGCCATGATAAGAGAGAACATTTTTATATATCCATCTATCTGGATCCTATAGAGGTGTGCTTAAGTTAACATGCCAAACGTGCGCTGTCACGTTTTACGCTGTCACGTTTGATGGTGCTGAGTTGATGGTGCTGAGAACAGTTGTTGCAAGTGTTTTGAATCTGGGTAGGATCTCAGATGTTTGGAAAGAATGTGTTACAGTAATATGATTGTGTTTCTTTTTTTGCATGCACACGCATGCGAATTCTGATGGAATCAGATGTTTGGAAAGCAGATGAAATCATAATCATTTAAACTAAACATGTTTCTTGCATGCGTGCCAGAACACCAGTGTCTGTTTGCATGCACATGTGTGCTTGTGTAGAATGCAAAAGAAATGGGGGATGTTACCACAGCAAAAAGCCGAAAGTGTTGCAGGCAAGATGAACTGGTGCAGATTGTTTCAGATGCTGAGAGAGATACCAAAAAGGCGCCTATAGTCTTTTTATACCCAGCTTTGCTCTTAACTTTTGGATCTAACCGAAGATGTGTTGCCTTTTTTGCTTACTTACGCTTCTTCTAAAATGGGCCGGTTTCCCCGTGGTAACTTCTTTCGGTTCGCTTCTGCTCCTCAAGAAAACCCAACGCTCCGCTCGGTTGCACCGTCCAAACGAAGCGAAGGAACGACGTGGGTTTTGTCCGTTCAGGTCTCGAGTATCGCATACGTCTTGGTGTTGAACACATCGAAGGAGCTTCAAACCGACCACTCTAGAGGTGAACGTCTCCACGAACGGACGCACAGTGACAGTCACCCACCTGCACCTTTTCACAGGCATGTCTGCACATGGAAGAGCACATGCATGTCACCCAGAGGCGGACACCAAATTTGGATGGGTGCCTACACTTCTATAGACGGAGGCTTTTACTACCTGCGGGTGGCACTGCGCTCTGTTCCTTCCCCGTTTGGGCACCGGGACCTCGCCTTCGAGGACCCAAGCGAGCGGAAGCCCGGTGGCGTGTTGGCGCGGCGCTTGTGGTCCGCAGAGCCACAGGTGGGGTTCGGGGTGTGGTTCCGCTGCGGGCGACAGAACTTCTGGATCATGTACTTGAGCCATGAGCCGCCTTAAGTATTTCTGAAGTGGTCAAAACCTTGCAAAACTGATAGGGGCCCCTATACTGATCGGTCTTGATTGAAAGTAGCTTATTGCCCGCATTCCAAAACACAGAAAACCGATAGGGGCCAACCGGGGCCAACCTATACGTTTGGCATTGGGGACACCAAGAAGTGTTGTCCGCCGCTCATATATTATAAAAATAAACAACGTGTGTTTGCGCGGATTCACCAGGGTGACACATTCTTTTTCCGGACATGCTGCATACAATTTGTGATTTTAAGTGGCATGGTTCTTAGAACCAAACCTCATTTATAGCTAAAGTTGAACCACTTTTGATATTATATATTATATATAGTATAGTACGCTAGCCTTAGACCATTCGGAAAACATGTGAAAAAGCTGACAACTATACAGTGTAGGGTGCCGGGCGAACATCGCCAGTCCTTTTCCGCGGAGTGAGAAGTGACAAAGTGGTCGCCACTGAGCGACCAGGATGTGCCCGGTTTGCGACCTGTTCGCCTGTTCAGTCACGCTGGACAAATAAAACGGAATGTCCAACTATACCCTACGAGTTCAAGGACCAAGTCAAACCTGGTCCTTGACCTCCTTGAGTACTGGTTTTGTATGACCATCTCCAGTACAATGAGGTCTTTGACTTGTAGGGATAGATTCTATTTTTTGTGAGACCACCAGTTTGACGTTCGAACTCCATTTGACCTGTCCGACTAAGTGGGTGACCCAGTTGCACTCAGCCGACGTTTGCAGCCACAGACGTCGGAGAAAGCGCCGGACGCGTCGTCGCCGGACGCGTCCGACAGGTCCGGCAATGGAAGTGGGTCTCCGTGGGCGTTCTCTTCCTCCTGGCGCGCGCGCGCGACATCCGCGCGCATGTTCGGATGGTCGGATTCGATTGGGCGGTGTTCGGGCCGATGGGAGAGCGGACATGTGATTGCCGCTGGCCTCTTGCTGCCTGGGAGGTTTTACAGCCCACTATTTTTGAACCAAACATGGGAGGATGAGACAGTGGCAATGAATGAGGCTACAGCATCTCGCACAGCGAATTGAGGTAAGGGTTTGATGAGGAAGCTTCATTGAGTTTCTGGGACAATTGTAAAGATACTGGCAGGACAAAATACCCCAGGCACATCTAGATCTCTAAGACCTTCTGCTTCTACATCTCTAGACTCTAGACTCTAGACCTTTAAACACAATGTTTGGGGTGCTTTGCCCGCAAATTTTATGAGTGTTGGGCTTGAGGTTCCGAGGACTTTAATTTCCCCGTGGTTAGCCCTCCAAGTCGATGACCTCGTAAAACTTGTCCATCTCAATATGAAGACATTGAACACTATTAACTTTACGTTGAACACCTTTTACTTGACCCCATCAAAACCTGAATTGTGTTCATTGTCTCCTGAGAGGTGGATTTAGTTAAATATGTAAGGAAACCTGCTCCTTTTTGGTTGGTATTTTGGATGGCAAGCGGCTAAGCCAAGAACCGCAGTAGAGAACCATGGGTAAGGATGGCAAGCGGCTAAGCCAAGAACCGCAGTAGGATGTCTTCTAGGAACCAAGAGGTTATGTCTGGATGGCAAGCGGCTAAGCCAAGAACCGCAGTAGGATTTCAGCTAGGAGCCATTAAGGGTTGCTTCTGGATGGCTAGCGGCTAAGCCAAGAACCGCAGTAGGATCACCTCTAGGAACCACTGGGGTCACCTGCAGATGGAGGCTCGTTGTTTGTATTTTACAGCAAATTTTTGTAGGCGACCCAATTTGAGGCCTCAACATAGATGACATGGGTCCTTGACCTCATGGAGTACTGGTTTTGAATACTGGATCCAGTCACATTAGGCCCTTCACCTGTAGGGCATAAACACACATTTGCATGCATTCATGCCTCACTTCCCTCCTCGTGCGTTGGGATGCGGCGAGCAATAGCTCATCACCGGAAAGCCTGGGAGCCTATCGTCGAAGATGAAGGTGCACATGCCATGTTTAGTCTGGGATGGACACTGGGATGGACAAGCAGTGGGAACAGGGTGTTTGATGGCAAGCGGCTAAGCCAAGAACCGCGATGGGATGATGAATTGAATTTTTTTTGAATAGAATTGGAGAGGAAACTGGTGGTTGTTTGGTTGGAAATCTGGATGGCAAGCGGCCAAGCCAAGAACCGCAGCTAGGAACCAAGAAGTTGCAGTTAGATGGCAAGCGGCTAAGCCAAGAACCGCAGTAGGAAATTTTTGGTGTTTCTGAGCAGAACCACATACATGAGCCGATCTTGATGTGGCCATTTGGCTGGATGAGCTGGATGAGGGAGCACCATTGCAAGGCAACAGTGTTTCTGCACGATCATCCCTAGGACTCGACTGGGGCGGGGGTCACGTCTCGAAGCCATGCCGGATTCGAAGCCACGGGAGCTGCTTGTTCAGGTGCTGAAGGCCAGGCCATTTGGAAACTGACATGAGGGACTGTCAAAACTCCTGATTCGGTTTTGAGTTGGACCTTATCCATTTGCAGGGTTGTGAGCACAAACCTACCCCTCTTTCAAAAAGTGGTCTTTGCATGTTTTGACTGTGGCTCACATGATGCTGGAGCTGCATAGAGGAACCACGACCACTGACTAGATCTTTGGAGTTGGACTTGTGTGCTCACATGGAGAGCACCCACCTGAGCCTGGCTAGGACTTCTATGATCAACGGCTGGTGGATGAGGGCAGGGAGATCCGCCTGGAGGATTTGGCCAAGAAGATGGGAATGCCAGCAACTTGACATGGGAAATGGTGACTTTAAGTGGAGTTGGCCACACAAGGACCAGATACTACTATCACTGGCCTTTGGATGAGATATGATGAGATCATAGCGGAAACTGTACAGAGATCAGCCAAGGAGAAGAAGTTTCAGAAGATGATGAAAAAGGGTGTTGCATCTTGACAGCACACTTGGAGCATCTCTGGATGTTAGTCAGCAACGGTTGCATGGCAACTTTTGCCCTTGAGCCACCTCGATTAAATTCCTCAGATTACCTAGGCCTAGATATCTTAATTAATGGACAAGTTTTACAAGGTCATCGACTTGGAGGGTATATAAATATATTTAAAAAAACTTAATGGTGCCACACCTGCGTGTCGAAGTCGGTTCCCCTCGCCGCACCGAACAGCAACCCCCACTGCGACCCTTGGTTTGCCCACGGTCCGTCATGTTCACTCATCGTCCACCATGTCCAAGGAGAATGGATGTTGGGCACGAAATCACCCAGGGTGGATTGAGTATGGATCTTTCACTCTTCAAGGGGTATTTCCAAAAAAGCTGCCCTCATCCATCCACCCATCTGCATCGATCGATGTCGGCGCCCAGCAGTGACACCTGGTTTTGACCCAGCCAAGTGGGTTGTCCTGACCAAACAGGGTGCCCCTTCCAACAGGAAACATTTTTTGACCTTGATCTTTTGGGTTTTCACCCCTAGGTCTTCTGAGTTGTTTAGGGCACCCTGTTCACTACTGCGGTTCTTGGCTTAGCCGCTTGCCATCCCACCAGCCACCCTTTCTGTGGCCACCGGAACCGAATTCTTTGCTTTTGCCTGGCAATGCTTGGCAATGGCACTGAGATTAATGAGGGTCAACCCTGTATGGATCTGGTCATATCTTCTTTACATGTCTTTACTCTTGGTCTTTTGGGAGTATGGTTCGTATTGAGTATCCATAGGAGCTGGTATCCAGGTTCCCGTGGAGTTCAGCTTCGTGGATGCGGAGAAGGGCCTGGATGCGAAAACCTTCAAGAAGGACACCAACTTCCTGTTCTGCAGAGACTGGATTTGTGTCTTTGGACACCGGAGAGTGACATCAAAGGAGACCCAGGCCAGCTCATGGGTTCTGGATGGTTCTGGATTTGGGATTTTTTTGGATATCGGCCAGCGCTTGGTCAAAGTAGAGCATTATTGAATTCCATGCACTGATATCCTCAGTTGAATGAATCAGGCCACTTTTGGTGGGACACAAGAAACTCTGGTCCACTCCTGTCTGGCACACTTCTATGACACTCTTGTGGAAAACTCTGGTCCACTCTTGTAGGACACCCTTTTGGGACAGGTCACCCTCTGCTCCACTCCTGTAGGACACTCTTATCGGACACCCTTCTATGACACTGT